TGTAGCTTTGCCTGAAATTCATAACAAACCAAACTAATCATGGTACAAGCCAAAATCAGCAAAAACTTAATATTAAAACTAAAAAAAAAAAAAAAAACAGCAAAAGAAAAGTCGTATTCTTTCAATATAGAAATGTCAATTTGAAAGAATTAACAATGATATTGATTAATCCTTAACTTTTAATTAGTATCATAATTATTCGAGTATAAAAAGTTCATGTTCAGTTAGGTATAAATGTCACATTTGTTTTCTGTAGATTTACATATAAGTATTTCTTTATATTTGAAAATTGAAATTCATTTTAGGGATGTACCATCCTTTAATATATTTTAATATCGCACTTAGAAAATGTACATTTATCTTTTAGATAGACTTTAGTGCATAAATATAATATGTTTAGTCAATACCCTAAAGTAATTAGAGTGTTGAACCATGGATTGAAAGGCCCTAGATTCAAGATGCTGAACATACTTTTAACTTTGTGTGTGTGGGGGTATGACATCCATTTAGGTGTAGAAAGGCTAAGATTGAATAATGGGGGTCTCTGTCCTGACTGTTTAGCCCATAAGATACCACTAAGATTGAAAATATTATATATCTTTGTGTCAAGATTATGTTAAGTGTTTTATATTTAGTTCATTAAAAGATCCAACAGTTTTCCTCAGTAATCAGAATTCCACTCTCATTTATTGAATATTCAAATATATTTCTCATGTACTTTATTTTTATAACATTATTTCTTGTTTCATTGCATCAGTACTTGCCACATATGATGAGCCAGGCTGTATCTTACTGTTAAATATGGTAGAGCTCTGAATCTTGGAGCTGGCAAACTGGGTTTGAATTCATGCAATGACACAAAATCCCCCCTCCCCTCCCTTCCCACTGTAAGCTGTGGGTAGATTATGAGAGCAATAGTCAATCCTTTACTGTCGATAGTAGGGTTTTGCTGACTGGCTGCTTCCACCCTGGTCATTATTGTATTTTGGGTCTATTTGACCCGACACTGGTTTCCATAATATCTTTGAGTTTATTATAATAAGAGTTTACATTAATTACTGATATTTAACATAAAAGCTATCAAAATAAAAATATTTTTTTCAATTCAAGGCCATTTCACTTTGTTTCAAATTGCAGTGGGTCAGTAATACCTGCAACAATAGATGTATCTAAGTTCTGAATATTATAGGAGGGTTAAGAGCATTAAAGTGGCTTACTTTTCCTTCATGGCCTTTGAGTAGTTTGAAGAGAATTTCTAATTCACTACCAACATCCAGCTTTGTAGGGTCAAATACAACAAGGATGATATCAGCTCGATCGATAAACCACTGGCACACATTGTTGAAGGGGTAGCCTCTTTCCTGTTGCTTACGATTTTCAATAATACCTGGAGTATCTATAATATTCATCTAGAGAAGATGATTCAACAGTTAGCATGCATATTACTGAAATAAGATGTAAGGAAGAAATAACATTTTATGAAAATAGTTGTATTTTCATTATTTTTATTTTCATCAGTATAATATTTAAACTGAACTATTTTTTCCATGGTAATTATTACTGTTATGTTTTTTTAAAGACTTTTAGAGAGATTACTTTTCATGTGCTAGAATTTTTTGTATTTGGATATATTAATGTTGAGTGGAAATTTTTAATTGTAACCTAACTTTATAAGTACTGAAATATTTTTCTTACTTGAAAATCATCAAAATATTGAAATAGCTAAAAATGAGGTTTTAAAAACAAAATGTAAACATTGTTATGTTTTATTATGTTAAGATGGTATTTTCAGGTTATAATGATCCAAGTTACATTATGGAGTTTTGTGATAAATAGTAGCTTTTAAGACAAATACTGTCAGTAATCTAGCATGTATAATATTTATCAGTTATGAATTAAAAAACAAATGTAAAAAAAATTAAGGATTGATATAAACCATAACCTTTTCAAGGAGGGGATGAGGTATCTGAATCCCCATTAACCTTTCCAGAAATGACTGACCAAACTTCTCTAGTGCTCTGTAGCTCTTGTTCATTGCAAGAACAGCTCCTTCCACTGTTTTGTATTCTCTACCATTCAGCATGACAGTAAACTCTGAAGTTGTTGGTTGGGCTCCTATGAAAACAAATAAGCTTACCAAAAATAGTTGAATGTAAGAAAGGTACTTTTTAAATTTTTTTTACTGGTGACTCCTTTACTAACTTCCATTATAGTTTATAGTTTTGTGAAACTTGTCACACAGTAATGTTTGTAATGTGTAATCTCTTAACTTGTCTGTTATCTTTAACAGACTTTAATTTTGAATATTTCATTAATATTAATAATAAAAATCCTATATCAGCTTGGTTAAACTTGTTGATTAAAACCTTAGAGATTTTTTTTAAATTTTCTGAAGACTTACAACATGAAATTGCTTTGAATTTTGAAAGACTTGGTTTGTGCATATTGAATTCTGTATTTCTTCAAATTCACCATTGTCAAAGCATTACTAACAATATCTTATTAAATCTGGAACCCTATTAATTCTATAAAATACTTAGAATTTGACATTGTAATTATAATTTAGGAAAAGTACAATGCTTTAAAAACATTTAATATTACAGATTCAACTACATAAGTTTACTAAATACGGAATTGTGCTTGAAGATAGTATGATAGCAAAGTCCAAAGAAATTTTATCTCACCAGTTGCTAGGGCATATGTATCATTTTCTATTCCAAGTAAATAATTTATTAATGAAGATTTTCCAGTACTCCAAGGGCCCATGATCAATACCCGTGGGGATGCAAAAATCTCACCATCTGGAAAGAGCAAAAAAAAGTTTTCAACGTATCCAAGTCAGTATGAGTAATAATATCTTTATGAAAAATAATATTTTAATAAATTCCAGACATTAAAAATCCTAAAAAATGATTCAATAGAAGTAAAATAATGTTGTACCTCAATACCCATTTCCTGAATTGTGCTATGGTAACTGTCATATAATTTGTACATTGCTGTTAGAGGGGTTGTATACTGTGTTATGCATGTAAAACTTCTCTTTATACTTCTAGATCAAAAGTCTGGTAAATTTGTGTTTAACTTTCCAAATTATATAGTATGTGTTACACACAAACAGTAAACAACAACTAGGTTCTTCATCTATTCATCACAGATCTAAATACAGTAGCTACTAAACCCCAAATCAGTTTAATTTTAATAGTAACACATTACCTTCTGTTTCTGACTTGCGGGCACTACAAATAAAGCACAGTTAACAAAGAGTAAAAACTGTTCAACTTGATAAACCTCACAATCATTGTTAGTAAGAAAGTTATGATAGCATCTTATTAATTGACAACTAATTCATAATACTCAGTTTATACCACTGTATTTTTTATCAAACAAAAGTAAAAATTAAATTGTATTCATTAAAGTGTTTCTTTCATCTCGCTTTACACAGTGTAATTTCATTGCTTTCTTACCAGATGTTATTGGCTATGGACAGGAAGGATGATTATATTTATGTTAATAAAATCAATGAAAGATTTTCATGACACTCCAATTTGAAATGAGTAAAATGTTTTAAATATTAAAAAAGAGACTCAAGCATGAGGTAAATATGAAGCATGCTGATCTTTCTGTACAAATTTTGAAGGAAATGCATGTTATTCAACTTATACTGACCATGTGAAAACATTTATTAAATATCATTAAATTTCTGAGAATAAAACATACTATCAACTTTGCGTTGCTTCAAATCATGGAAATGATAGGCTTCCCCTAGTGGTTTAATATCAGTCTCGTATAGTTCATTTAGCTTTCCAAGGATGTCTGACACCAGTAACTCTTGTGTGCTTTTTGGCTTTTCATCTAGTTGCAATACTTTGTGGATATGGTCCCTGTTTTTCTGGCCATACTGTTGTTGAATATGTTGGTATACCTCATCTGTTTCAATTGTACTGGTTGTTTGTACACTGGATTCATCTTCATCATGTTGGGTGTCTGCTGGTGCTACGGTGAATTCTTTTTCTGCTATACCAATATTGAAGTGAGAAAAGTAAATATAATTTATTTAGCTTTTGTTTTTAGTGTTCTAAGAACTGTTGTTTTTAAAACATATACTTGTCCAAAATCTTGAAATAATACAAAAAAGCACCCTCCATCAATATCGATGTTTTTTAGATTTTACTTTGTAACAGTAACAAACAATTTTGTATCTAAAGCACCAACTAATACAAAAGAGCCTACTGATGCAAGTGTACTAGAGTAATACACAATAATTGTAGTATTTTGGCACTTGTGTATAAATTTAAAATAATAAATAATATTCAACATTAAACTGGTACACACTTAAAAACATTTTATTTAGGCCTATCTATGGCCTTCAAAAAGTTGACGACTCTATATGTTTCGAAGTTTTGTGCACTTTGTAAGTAACATTAGTTTTTATACCTGATTTCAATTTTATTCATTTTTCTTGTACATTCACTACTTTGATTTTTCAAATTAGCATCCAAAGGATTTTTTATTTTTCTGGAAAAGATTTAAACAACAAAACTGATTTATTAAATTGAACATTCAATAACACGTGTCATTCTTGGGCCATATGTTTTTAGGGTATTAATAATTACTATGGTCTTTACAGTCATATAGTTCCAATGTTATTACTGTGAGATTTGTTGTTAATTGCTCTTTCTTGTATAATAAGCAGCTATTAATTAGATTTTAATAGGTTAGTAACTTAAACATACACTAATGAAATTTTCGTAGGCCTGTATTTGCATAATTTTTTGGTATCTAGTGTTTTTGTGCTAGTAGTATTATAATGAAATACTTGTATAAAGAATTTTTTTTTACTAATATAAAGGATGAAAATTTTCTAATGGTGTAAATAAATACTTTAAAAATCTAATTGATATTCAAGGCCAATTGTGGCCCAGTGGTTAGTGTACTTGACTGTGGCTCCAAGGTTCCGTGGCTTGCTTCCTATTACCAAAAAGAAGAAAAATTTAATAAAATCATGCTCCAGACTTGACTTTGGGGCTGTGGGTGTTTTATAAGAGAAATAGTGAAATCTTGCTGATCTTACCATTATTTAGTCTGATAAGAGAAGCTCAGAAGTTGGTACAGGGTGGTATTGACTTTTAGTCTATCACATAAAAATTAAGGAGGATCTGGCTTAGTACAAAATTCAAACAAGATAAGTAAAAAATTGGTAATTTAAAAACCTGCAAATAGGGATCATAAAAAAAAAGTAAGTAAATAAGGCTGAAGATACTGTAGACATTATTTACTCAAACTACAGACCCTTGTTTTTGCTCCATGCCATTACCAAAAATTACATTTGGTGGAGCAAAATAAGGTTTTGTAGTTGTGTTTCAGTTTCTAAGTTACTATTTTAGGGTAAAATGTATGCCCACAAGTTTTGTGTATGTTTGAATAGAAGTTAATATTGACATGAGTTTTAGAGTTTAGGTGGAAGTATTTTTTATATAAATATGTGATAGTATTCTCCTCTAATATTTTCATGCATATATGTTTATGAATGTTGATATTGGTTTGTGTTATAACCATTTCAGTAATAACATTCAAATATTAAGTATTTGGCAATTTTTTATATTGTATATTTTTCGTCCCAGTGTCATTATAAAGTTTTAAATGATGAAATGGTCTGAAAGGATAAAACATTACTATGAGAAAGTTATTCAAGGCTTTTCATAAATTTAAGACTGCATATAACGTATAAACTGTAGTCTTATGACTAAATTTAATTAAAAAATTGAAATTACAAAACCTGAGGTGCTTTCATAAAAGTTAAGTGATGAGTAGTGTAAGCCTAAAAGAGTTTCAACGATGTGTATGTATGTCACTGTTTGTTTGATTTTATCATTTATATACACGAAATTAGTTTTAATTTTAAACAAGGAAAACTGTGATTTGTTAATTGATATTTAATTAACTACACAATAACCCATGTATTTGTTTAAAATAATGGGAGTTATTATTTTAAATCTAAGGTATAAAGTGTTAAAAGCCGTATGGTAGGTGTCGCTTTATGTGATTACATGACGCAGACATGCAAATCACCACCTGCAAGTAACTTGCGTAAAACCATATAGTACTAGAGGTTTCAGTAAGCCCAAGTCTTCACAATAAACCTAACTATATTATATTTATAATATTGTAATAGAACTTATAATATAACTGACCTCTGGTCTCGTCAGTGAGTACTTTCGTCAAAACTAGTATGAGAACTGTTAATCTGATATAGAACCGGATTCTCTGCCAGTTCGTTGCCATCTTTATTGGAGGGGATTCTTGGGTGCCTTTAGGGTACATGCGCAGTTGCTATGGCAGCAAATTATAGTAGTTAAACGTAAATGACGAAATGCATTTCACTTTCTTATTAATTATTTTTTTCTACCTTAGAAGAAATTAATAAAGAATTTAAAAAAATATTAAATATTTAAGTGTTTTGTTATTTATATCCATAAGTGGTAATTTGTTCGTGTTTATATATATATATATATAT